GTTAGTCTGGGTAGAGTAGAGATTTGTTGATTTGTTGGCTCACCCTCTCCATTCCCCGACTCCCCTGTCTCCCCGGAACTGTCAGTCCCATTGTTTTAGCCTTGGGGTTGTTTATCCTGCCTAGCTTATATAGAAAGACATGGAAAAAGAGAGAGAAAAATGAAAATCTAATCCTCTGGGAATTGCTACTAACTTAACTCAGTTTTACAGATGAGGAAGTTAAAGTACAGAGAGGTTATATAATTTGCTCCAGGTGTCATAGTCAGTATAAGATCTAGAATTCCATCCCAAACATTGTTGACAATTGAGTCTATTTTCTTAGCTGCTATGATGACCTGCATTGGTAGTAATTATGGTATTTCCATACTGCATTTCTGATTATTTCTTTTCCGGGTTTTTTCCTTGCTTATATGAGCATTATTTTCACCTGTAAGTAGCACCAAACTATTATATTTATTCTTTTGACAAATATTTACTGAGTTCCTTTGAAACTGGCCTATCATCGATGACTGTAATTTTATTAGCATATTTATAATGTATGTAAATACAATGGATTTCTACTATTAAATGTATAACAAACCTGATATTTAGCTTTGAGCTTGATGTTAGGCTAAAATCTGACAGTCAGACTCAGCTCTCACCTCAACCAGAAGTTCAACATCATTTCTTAATTTCCTAAAATCTTGCACAATCAATTTACTCAGAAAACTCTCTGTTTCTATGGATAAGATTTCTTAGTGTTTATATCTATAAAATAGAAACTAGAATAGCAATATCATAGAATGGAAAAGAAAAGCAAGAACAGCTAGTTCTTGTACCATCATAACAGTAACAAATACTCATCCAAAGATAAACAAGTGGATTTGAATCACAGAAGCAGGGGTGATGCATAATTCATTTCTTTAAGGAATGCTTTTCAAAATGCGTCTCATATTTACTATTCAATGCTGCAGTAAGTGCATGTGCATTAGTTAAGTAGTATGCTGATAATAATTATAGGATTAATTCCATCCATAAAAAGTATATTAATACTTAGACTTTCACAGGCCCTCACCCACTCCCATCAAGTCAATGTTGACTCAGAGTAACCCCTGTTGGGTTCTGAGACTGTAACTCACGGAGCTGCTGGTAGCTTTGACCTGCGGATCATGCACACCACAGCCTAGCATGTAACCATTATGCATCAAAGGCACAAGAACATTTTTTAATAAATGTAGATAGCTTTGGCTGCAAAATTGTATAGTGGAATTATCGATAAACTACATTAAAACATGAAACACTAGGATAAAATTGCCTGAGAAATAAGAGTAGAAAGACAAGATTAAGAACAAACAAAAATGACACAAACTTTCCAACTGAGGTGGAAGAAGGGTTCATGTGTGTTAAATTAAATTTAACATATATTATCATTTAACATACATCTAACATTGTGTTAAATTAAATTTAACATCTATTAAATTAATAATGATGGGCACCAAATCATTGCAATATTTATATTCCAGTGGATATGTTCTAAAAGTTTTATTGTAGTTGTTGTCTTTTCTTTTTAATATCACTATTCATAATGCAAAGAGCCCTGGTGGTAAAGTGGTCAGCGGTTGGAAACTACCAGGTGTTCATCGGGAGAGAGATGAGGTTTCCTCTCCAATAAAGAATGTACAGTCTTGGAAAGCCACAAGGGCAATTCTAGTCTGTTCGACAGGGTCATTATTAGTCTGAATTGACTCAATGGCAGTAACTTTTTTGGGTTTCTTGCTTTTAATTTATAATGTATAATTTTTGTGATCTTGCTCATGATAACCTAGTCTAGATGTTGAGTTAAATATGTGAGGTTTTATATGGTTATTAAAGTGCTTCTAGGGAACACGGTAAAATGTGTGAAGTCCACCAGAGCTTAAAAACCTCACTGACAGCGCTGGAAAAGCATTGTTCCTACTTGATGCTGTCACATTTAAAACAATCTTTTTTGATGATAAAATGTTGATAGCCCTTCAGATTTTTCTTCTATTCCAGAAATTCAAACGGTGATAATGGGTCTAGCCTTTGCCAAATATGGAGTTTGAACTTAATGTTTGAGCACTTGGCCAAAATATAGATTTGAAACCTAGACTAACAATAAATGCTTGCACATCAATTCCTCTCAAAGGAATCACAATAGATACTCCTTGACAGAGTGAGAGAGAAATGTGGAACAAAACTCAAAATCATAACAAGTATTAAGCTTACTGGTCTGATCCCCTGAGACTGGTGGAACCCCTGAGACTACGGCCCTTACTCATTCTTCAAGCCTGGAATTCACCCCATGGAAAGAGCTCTCGGCTAAACAGTTCACTGGCCTGAAAAGTGTGCGATAATAGCAGGGAGGCATGGACGTGTTCCTTAGAACAATCAACCAAAGCTGACCCAAGGGGCAGAATTTGCCCAGGACAAAGTTCTGAAGGAATTGGAAAGGACACGTGGAAACAGCAAACCCGGGGAAATGGGGAAGAGGGCTGTTGCAATGTGGGGACTGCAATCAATGTCAATGAAACAAAATGTGGATGAATTATCTAATGGAAAAATAATTTTCTCTGTAATCATTCACTAAATATTTAACAATAAAGAGTTAAGCTATCAAAAGCTTGCAAACGGCCATCTAAACTATAATAAGTAAATTCTTCATAGAATCCTGACGTTCTAGAACTATTCCATCGGAATGAAATGAAATGACTGCCTTGAGATCATCTTTAAACTTAAATCTCAAGTCAAAATGGCCCCTACAAGTCTGAAGCAAATAGTAGGTTAGCTTTAATTAGTACTCTTAAAAAAAATTTTTTTAAATCATTTTATTGGGGCTCATACAACTCTTAGCACAATCCATACATACATCAATTGTGTAAAGCACACTTATACATTTGTTGCCCTCATCATTCTCAAAATTTGCCTTCCACTTGGGTTCCTGGAATCAACTCCTCATTTTCCTTTTTCCGCTCCCCCTCCCTCATGAACCCTTAATAATTTATAATTTTTTTTATCTTATCTTACACTGCCCGGCGTCTCCCTTCACCCACCCTTCTGTTGCCCATCCCCCAGAGAGAAGGTTATATGTAGATCCTTGTAGTTGATTCCTCCTTTCTACCCCCACCCCCCATGTCGCCCCACTCACCACTGATCCTGAGGGATTCATCTGTCCTAGATTCCCTGTAGAAACGTTTATTTAGATTTAAAGCAAATACTTCAGTATCACAAACACAATATTAAACTTCCAGGAATACACTGCTGATTTGGAGCACTCTTTTAAAGACATTTTTTTAAATTATCCCTATGAGATCAAATTTACAACTGTGTTGTGGAAGTTTGGGTGAGAGTTCAGGGAACGGTGAGTTAATGTTAATGGGGGTGGAGCAATTTGGAAGAGCATAAGTAGATTGATTTCACAACTTGAAGACTGTAAACAATGTCAGTGAATTGTACGTGTACTATTTATGTAAATGTTATGCATATTTTTACCAAAATATTCATTCAGTAAGCATTTGCCAACTATCATGGGGATTTGAAGTACTCGTGCTATCGCTCCTAGCATCACAATGTGAAAGCCCCCACACAGAGATGACAGACAGACAGATGACAGGTGCCGGGTAATGTATTGTTATGCTTTATCTCTCTTCGTGTGGCAGTTTATCACACAGTTTAGTTGCAATGTTAGACATTTAATATTGGATATATGTACTTTCGCAGTTCAACCCGGTTGTCATGCCCATCATCTCCACTTCACAGTCACTTGTTTAGATCATTTTAAAAAATGTATGTCGAAACTTACGGTACCTCACCTCAGTTCACAGGTGATCCCAATAAAATATTCTTGTCCACGGAAGTGCTCGTTTCTATTCATATCTTATTTATAGTCTAAATCCATTTTTTTCTATGTAAAACACACACACATCTCAACTTTGTGGGAACCATTATAATAGTGTGGATACTCATAATGTTATAGCGTGGCTCTTTCACAGTTTCTGATTTGTATAAGATGGATTCTAACATTCCAATCTGCTTTGGCAAGCAAAAAAGGACGATGAATCACTATTGACAAAATATTTTATAATGCTGAGGGTAAAAACAAATAAAATGTTCATCATAGCTTGATGCAATCGATATATGAATTGTTATAAGAGTTGTAAGAGCACCGATAAAATGATTTATTTTTTAAAATGTTCATCATTATAAAATTTACTTATAGAAAAAATAAAGGAATTGCCTTTGTATTCTAGGGTTGACAGAAAGAAGAATTAACAAAGATATGTCACATGGGTTGGTATATCATTTTGCTTTTAAAAGACAAGAAAAAGGATAGGTATAAGCAACAAAAATTAAGACTCTACCAGCAGTTCTCAGCCTGTGGGTCACGACCCCTTAGAGGGTCGAACGACCCTTTCACAGGGATCGCCAGATTCAAAACAGTAGCAAAATGACAGTGATGAAGGAGCAACGAACACAATGTTGTGGTTGGGGAGTCACCACCCCATGGTCGTTTGTTTTAAATTCTGTGATAAATTTCATAAAAGAACCATTTAAAATGTAGCTGGAAAATAAAATACACCAAAATGAAGCCAGGTGAGTATGTTTGATGTTCCTCGTCTGCCATGACTTGGGGTGTATTGTCTTTATGAGACAGTGAAGTCAGAGAGAAATGAAGTCAAGAACACTGTTGATTTCATCAAAGCATATAGTTTGTTTTTTTGCCTATTTAAAACTATTTAAAATGCTGCCGAAACTTCTAATTAGTAACACTGGCCAACAGTAATCTCACAGTACTGTTGTTCAAGCATTTGGATAATTTGATAAAGTCAGTGCCATATTTCTGATGGTCATGGAAATAATGTGGAATTGATTTTTGAATACTGGAAGTGGTTAATATGTTACAAAAAATAAGTGGTTGTCCGTTTGCTTTCACTGTCCATTAGGTAAAATAAAAGCCAGTGAATCTGGAGCAAGAGCAGAGTTCAAGGAACAGGGACACAGGTTCCTGTTCTTCGCTACTCCTTTTCACATCATGAGGAGAAACCAGCTGCCAGGGGCAGTCTTGCTCCTGCTTTCTCTGCTCCTTCTCAGAGATGCTGTAGACACTGCAGAACCGTAAGCAACATTTCCAGAAATATCTCTTGCCTTCTTTCTTTCTCATTGTATTATCTGCTTCTTGATCCCCCCTTTTATATATTTTCTGATTTCTTATGAAAGTATCTGTCATTTAAAGGACTTGGTCACTCAATTGCTAATACCCAGATTGAAGAAAACCCAGATCGTTGTTCTCGCTTTGCTTCGGACTCTCCCGTTGTGATCCACATCTGTCAGAGGAGAACCACTGAAAACTCAGTGGTTCTCAGTGGCTGGCTTTTAGGAAGTAGATCACCAGGCTTTTGTCCAGGGTCCTCAAATTATACAATAGTCAGATAGAGGGAAAGAATATCTGTGAAACATTCACCAAATTGATACCTTCTCAATGGGCTCATAAAATGGGCTGCAGTCTTTGGCCAGTGTAACGTGACCGAGGGACTGGGCTTCCCTCAAAGCAGAGAGCGCTCATGCCGCACAGACAAGCCAGGTTTTGTGTGCTAATTCACTAATGCCTTAAGCAATCCACAGGCAATAGACCAGGCCCTGCCATCAATATCGCATAGCAAAGAAGAGAGGCTGCACAAGGGACGTCTCCAAATGCCCAGGCCCCCTGCCACCTGTTGTTGTTATTGTTGCTGAGTGATGTCGAGTCAATTCGGATTCATAGAGCACACCAAAACCCTGTCTGGTCCTGCACCATCCTCACAATTGTTTTTAGATTCAAATCAATTATTGAAACCACTGCCATCTAGTCCCTTCTGACTCAGCAGTGCTACACAACAGAGAACAACTGCCCCTCTGGGTTCCCCAAAGAATAAATCTTTATGGAAACAGAAAGCCTCAGCTTTCTCTGGTTGTTAGCACCCAGCACATGACACCCTACACCGCCATGGCTCCTGAAAACAGAAGCAGGTATTGCAGGATTCTGTAAGATTGTTCACAAACTATGTCTTCTTGGGGCCTGAGCCACCAAAGTCTACACACAGTGAGTTGCTCTGGGACTAAGTGTTTAGAAGCAAATAGAAGAAGCAAAAGTACATTTCAATACACAGCCTACTTGGGTGCTTGTAAGCTAAGGGCAGGCGTCCTGGTGGCATATTGATTAAAGCCATTGACTTTAACTGAAAGACCAGGGATTTGAGCCCACCAGTCATGGGGGCAAAAAAACACGGAGCAGTTTACTTCCTTAAAGCTTTACCACCTGGGAAATCTTATGGAACGGTTCTACTTTGTCCTATAGCGTTGCTATGTGTTGGAACCAACTCCACCGCAAAGTTAAAGTCAACGAGTGACACAAAAGGGCCTGGGGGACCTCAATGTTGTGAAGTCACCTCATATGTGTCATACGTGTTACAGAGTAGAACTGCTCTATCGGGTTGTCATGGCTATCTATAATCTTGACAGAAGTCGATCACCTGGCCTTTCATCCAGGTTGCCACTAAGTAGATTTGAGCCACGGTTAGCTAAGTAGTTGAGCACAAATTGCTTGCACCCACCTGGAAATGTGGAGAGCGGAATTTTAGGCTGGGTTTCTATGGCAAAATGCCTAGTAATTGGCCACCTTCCCTTCGCTTGGCCCCCATCATGAGAGAGTGAAAAAAAAGTAAAGAATTAGCATTGTTTTTGAAAGAGTTGTGAAAGGCAGCTGGAACTGTCCTCGTGTATTAGATATGATCTCTCTGATGCTTCTTGAGCCCAGGGGATTCACGACATCATTCATGCAGAACCCCAGACCACACACCGTATTTAAGGAGCTTTGGACTTTCCGTGATAATCGCTGGATTAATTCATATTTTATTGTTGTTACTCAGAACTTGAAAATTATTTGTATCCAAAATTTATAATCATTCATGGATTGGTTGCCCATGGTGATCAACAGGCTTTCTAATATTATGATGTTGCCCGGTTCCACAACAAAAGGAGACCATCTTGATGTTGAATTTCTTAGCGAGTTGCTTCGGAGTTGCTGAGAGCTACCTGCTGCTCTACCTTCCTGCTGAAATGTGGCTCTGCTGATACACATCTCTTCATGTTAGGAGACAATAGCAAAGATTGTCTAGGAAATGACCATTGGTATAATGTCGTTTATACCCTGCGTGGCTGATATAGACCCCTGTTCTCCACAGACACTATGTGGTGCTGGTCCCATCCCAGCTCTATTCTGGGGTCACTGAGAAGGCCTGTGTTATGCTGAAAGACCTCAATGAAACTGTGACTGTGACCATGACTATAGAATTTGGAGGACAAAGCTGGAACCTGCTCAGCAAGCCTGTGGCAGAAAAGGCCTCCTTCTTCTGCCACCCCTTCTCTGTGAGTGCTTCTGTGGAAGGGTGGCGATTGGTAGAGAAAGGCTATCCTAGCTGATGCCTGATTTCTGACGCCCAAAAAAACCCAGTGAAGAGAAAATGAGAATTACAAAGTGAATTCCAAAAATTAGAGTCTAGAAATGAAAGTTCTACTGAGTGTGTGAATATAATATTTACGAACAGATCTAGTAAAGTAGAGGAGATGTCGTAATACTTATAGAATGCTTTTGATCTTAAACTTCTCTGATAAATAATGTTTGTGCTATTATTCCCATCTTACAGATAAAACCATTGAGATATGTTAAGTGACCTTTCTAAGGACTCATAGATGCTTGAGAGTTAATGAATTGTCCCTATAGCCTTGTACTACTTAGAGTATTAAATGTTAGCTAATCATGTTGGCTTAGTACCAATAATGATGTAGGTATGCAAAAAGCTGGAAAACAAATACAATGAACAAAGAGGAATGGAATTAGAGTGAGAATATTGAATATAAAATGAACTGCCAGAACTATGATCAAATCTGTCTTGGCAGAAGTATAGCCAGAAAGGTCCGTAAAGGGGGGAATGATTAGATTTTTGTGTCACGTACTCTTGGCATGTCACCAGGAGGGCCCAGGGCCCAGGAAGAATATCGTGCTTGGTAAAGTAGAGGTGCCGCAGGAAGGAAGACCCTCAAAGAGATGCGTTGACACTGTGGCGGCAGTCATGTGCTCGAATATAGCCATGGTTTGAGGTGGGTATAAACCTCAGCAAGGCTCTTTCCTGCTGCACCGAGGGGCTTCTGTGCATCAGAAGGGACACGAGGGCACCTTACAGCAACAACGTGTCGCTGACAACTGGAAAATAAAGCCGAATCCTGGTTACAATACAACCATCCTGGCTGTGAAGATGTAGGCCTGTTTCCTTCACTATTGTGATTGGCTTGAAGAATTAATTCGTTTGCCTGACATGGTTTTTCCCCTCTTTAATTAAATCAGTCAATTGTTGCTGTTTGTTACACGATCAAAAGAACCGATTTAGAAAGCAAAGAACCTAGTCTTGGATTTGTCCCTTGCTCACTCTCATGGGACTAACCTGGTTAACTGAGGAACCCCAATAGAGTGAGACATTCTCATGTGGATCTGGGCCGATTCTTCAGCTCATTTTGTTTTACAGCTTCCAGAGCTCTCCACCCACATGGCATACATTACTGTGCAGGTGAAGGGGCCGACCCAACAGTTCAGAAAGAAGCAAATAATGGGCATCAAAAAAATAGAAAGCCTCGTCTTTGTTCATACAGACAAACCCGTCTACAAACCAGCACAAACAGGTATACACAAATCTAACAAGTAAGAGAACGGTAAGGGTTGTGGGCCTTTTATAACTTTATTCTGTGGTCATTGAAATCCTAGCATGTTGCAATGTATCCCTCCCTGGGTTTCCAAGGGAGGTTCTCATGGACAAAAATCTTGTGTGTTTCAGTGAGATTCCGCATTGTTTCTGTGAATATCAATTTTTACCCTTTGGATGAAATGGTGAGTCTCATAACAATAGATGAGGTTGGAAGAAATTGTCCAAAATTTAAGTTCTATTCTTTTGGAAAGACTGAGGCCAAAATACGACATATTTAAATCTATTGCAGGTGTACTAGGGGAATAAGTAAGGTCAGGAACAAGACAATTCACTAACATCACTCTTAAAATAATCACTCTATTGAAGTTGCTTAAAGTACGACTTATCTGCTTAAAGATCCCAGCTGTTATAGTGAACAAAAGAAAATTGCATCGGATTTCTGTCAATGATTATCTACAAACAAAACTTACTTGCATCACTTAAGCAGATTATGATTCCCCAGTCATACATTATATCACAAAAGGAAAGTTATGACTTCTTAAGATGGGGCTCCCCCACTAAGTTCTGTGAACCCAACAGGAGGGACATGTATGTGTTTAAACAAAAAGTAAAGACATCATTGACTCTGCTCAGAGAGCTTTGTCACTGCTGCCACCATAGTTTTCTCGTCCTAAGTTCCATCTCTCACAGACTCTTTCTTTCTTTCTTTTCAGTTCCCTGTGGTTTATATTGAGGTAGGTAACGCATTGTGTGTTGCAATTGGAATGAGAACTTACAAGTTCTATAAAATCACCCCTCTCCCCGCCTCCCATACAATGTCACAAAAATGAAGGAAACACTGTTTTCCTGTCTATCTTAAATCATCTGTAGACATCAATGAGCTATAAATGAAGGAACAAAATCCCCTGATAAGATCTTGTTCAGAGACTTCGAGTATAAGGATGTCAAAAAATATTGCTGTAAGGGTACCAGCTCATACATGGATTCAGTCTCACCAAATGGGTTTAATTAAACACGTCTCTGCTGCCACCGAGGGCTGCAGACCAGTTCTTTCAGTAGCTTACTTGTTTCACTCTCATTGGGATGCCTTCAGAAATAAGTACAACCAAAGCAGTGGCTTCGGAAGAAATCTCTTGGACCAGTTAAACTGAAGGCATAGAGGTCAGCTCAGAAGGTTCTAGCAACTGTTTTTTGAGGGAATTCCAAAGTGATCATCTTGATAGATTTCCCCAAAGGATGCAAAATGATCACAGAAGCTTTTTTTAAAAAATCGTTTTATTAGGGGCTCATACAACTCTTATCACAATCCATACATACATCAATTCTGTAAAGCACATTTGTACATTCATTGCCCTCATCATTCTCAAAACATTTGCTCTCCACCTAAGCCCCTGGCATCAGCTCCTCATTTTCCCCCTCC